AGCGATCGCAGCACGCTTAGCCAAAACCGCGTTTGCCCCGGCAGCGGCAGCGGCACAGGCGCAACTACCACCCGATGCTACTCCTTCTCAGGAATTTGTAGAGCCCTCGATCAGTTCAGATTTGATCGGAGAGCAGTCAGAAGAGAGGTTGGCAAAGCTCACCACTGTATGTTTATTGAAAAGACTTAATAGTTTACCCTTGCCCACACAGACCTGATCCACATAGCTTTGCCGCTCGGATGATGGCCAAATGGGGGCATAAAGACGGTGCGAACCCACCATCGTACCACTATGTCCAACGTCTCACCTAACCAAGAATTTTCTTCACCTAGGCCAAGGCCTTGGCATGGGCTCATCTGGATCATCCGGTTTGGTGGAACCTCTCACTATCGAGCAAGCTCGGGCTGCTAAAATGAAGACCAAAGGAGGTGGTGGTCCTCCGCAGAAGCAGGCGGCCACTGGCGGCATTGGCTCCAAGGAAGCTCAAAATCGGATCGTCAACAAAAACGATGACAAGGACCGAGAGGCGCGCGAACGTTGGGGCGAATCGAGCCGCGTCGTCGTGTTGACAAACATGGTTGGGCCCGAAGCTGTGGATGACGAAGATTTGAGAGAAGAGATTGGTACGTCTGTTTCTCACCGAGAACATATCCTCCCTTTCGTCAATTGCTATTGGCTAACTTTCTTACGTCCTTTTTCCATTTTCTTTTTCTTTCCCCTTCAATTAGGCGAAGAGTGTAGTAAGCATGGCGTCGTCGAACGCGTTATCGTACACCTTGTCGAACCCTCACCTGCGAATCCAGAGGCGCTGGTACGAATCTTCGTTCAGTTCTCTGGACCTGCTGGCGCTTGGAAGACGGTGAGGGAGCTCGATGGACGATTCTTTGGTGGGCGACCTGTGCGGGCGCAGTACTACCCTGAGGGCACCTTTGCGAGGAATGACTTGGCTGCCGTCCTTCTAGCCTAGTCTGCGGCTCAGTATCCGCTGCAATTGGAATGTGCGCGGAATAAAAACTATGATCCTGTGTTTAGCAGTCGTGTACGGTTTCGATGTCTCAGCATCTACCCGCCATCAATGACCACGGCATCAAAGTGGACCCCCACATTGTCTACGCTCCGCCTTCTTTCCTCCTAGGGAAATATCTTGTGGTGAAGATAGCTCGTGTGCGTCACATCTCACTGTGGAGTAACCTAACCCGTTGCATATAAAACCCACAAAATTACAATTCAAAGGCATCAAACATGGCCTACAAGATTGATAGCTGCATAGAGCCGTGCTCAAAAGTGTCTAGATCATCAGAGGTCCATTCGGAATAAACGAGACTGTTACTGATGTAGATCGTCCAACAAACATGAAGTGCTTTGATGTTTGGTTGAAGGTGGGGGAGATGCGACTGATAGTTGAGCGATCGACGTTTGGTATGTCGTGAGACCAGAAATGATGTGGTGATTGCGGAATTGTGAAGGTGATGTATTGGGAGACTTGCGGCATGACAAGGTTGCATCGTTTCGAGAAAGCTATGGATCAAGCAGACAGAAAAACCTCACCGGTCCATATGTGCATTTCTAGGAGCCGAATAGTGAATAATAGAATCTGGAAACTGGAAACTGGGTTGCTCAGAATACAGCCGGCTAATGCGAGCTATGTGGCTGGTGATACGCACTGGCTCTCTAAGCGTTCGCCGATACCTACTACTAGAGATAACTGGGCTGAGATAATCACGTATAGCTGCACTCCGCTGAGAATGTTCATCATGGTTAGTGCGCGTCCATCGAGGTCACGCGGTGTGTTACTCACGTCTAGCCAATAGGCGCTACTAGCATGTTCCGTTATACGACCGCCATGCTTCTCACATGCAGCCTCCCATCGCTTGACGGCCTTCACAATCTCGTGCGACTTGAATCGTGTCTCGACTCCCCCTTCGCAGTTCTTCACAAACGGCATGGGCACCCGGCCGATTAAGGATGACAACTTCAATTCCTTCCGACTCGCCAACCAACCATCCATGCCGTCCCAGCTCCAAAGTTCGATAGA